GGGTATATGGGAAATCTCTGTACCTTCCACTCAATTTGCATGTGAAACTACAATGTCTCTAAAAAAATAAAGTCTATTAAAAAAAAAAGATGCCTAAAGTTATCAAAAATGTTTACAACTGCGAAAGGGCAGAAAGGTGTTAAAATTACCCTCCCATTACTTTAAAAAAAGCAAATGTTAAAAGGGGAAAAAAGATCCATTCGTTTATTCAATAAATATTTACTGAATTCCCACTATGAGTCAGGCATTGTTCTCAGTACAGTTGGTAGATAACTCTTTCACTTCTGCCTCTACAAAGTGCACACCACCATCAATATCACCCTAGTCAACACACCGTGAAATGTACATTGCATGCCTGGCATTGCCTTAGAAACTCAGGTTAAAAAAACCTCTTTGCTTGCTTTCTTGCTTTTGATATTTTGGGTGACTCCGTTTCTTATTAGCACCAAAGTAAAGCAATGAAGATAGCAGAGAGGACACTGGGAGACCACAAAACCGGGTTCTGTCATTTAGTCATTTGTTAGCAGCAAAGATTAGAATAATTATGAGGAAAGCTAAAATTTCCAGTGGGTTTATTTATACTTTGCATTAATGAGCAAGTGAATAAAAAGCTGAAGTGATACTTCAGTAACTTGTCACTTCCCTCTACTAAGTAAGTAAGTAACAAAAAAACATTCAAATGTGAGAAATTTTTGCTTGGCCTTTTCTCCAACGATCAGTCACAACTTCAACAAGCCAGTGCAATCAATTTACACTATTAACATTACTTTTTTTAAAAAAAGATTTTATTTATTTGTCAGAGAGAGAGAACACAAGAAGGGGGAACAGCAGAGGGAGAAGCAAACTCCTCGTTGAACAAGGAACCTGATGTGATACTCGATCCCAGGACCCTGAGACCAGGACCTGGGCCGAAGGCAGATGCTTAACCAACTGAGCCACCAGGTGTCCCTAACATTACCTTTTGTAACAAAGGCTTGAGTAAATGCAGTTTGGTTAATCTCAGAAACATAAATCTCTCTCCTGACTCTGATTTCGCAGACTAGAGTTAAAACCTACTTTATATTCTTCCACCAAAATAAGTAGATATCCTTCAATGTATATGACATGAGTTGACCAGTATCTTGCATACAGTAATTGTTCAATTAAAAAATTAAGAATTGGGGGCGCCTGGGTGGCTCAGTGGGTTAAGCCGCTGCCTTCGGCTCAGGTCATGATCTCAGGGTCCTGGGATCGAGTCCCTCATCGGGCTCTCTGCTCAGCAGGGAGCCTGCTTCCCTCTCTCTCTCTCTCTCTCTCTCTGCCTGCCTCTGTCTACTTGTGATCTCTCTCTGTCAAATAAATAAATAAAAAAATCTTTAAAAAAAAATAAAAAATAAAAAATTAAGAATTGATTAAAAGGGAATAATATGCAATGGGGTGGGGGACCCTGGGATGGTTCAGCCAGTAGAGCATGCAACTTGATCTCGGGTTGTGAATTTGAGCCCCATGTGTGATGTGGAGTTAACTTAAAAAATTTAAAAAAATAAAAATAAAAAATAAAAAACCACAAAAAATAAAAATTTAAGAGTTGTACAGAAACTACTTAATTATATCCTAATCACTTTAAAACAGCCATTTGTTATGAACTTCTGATACAAAAATAGAAAGCCTCCATTTAAATACAAGCTGATCCAATAAAGTTATTACAAATTACGGGTTTGAGTTCATTTTTATAGTGGTATGATAACTTCCTGACATTTCATGATTTCTCAAAGTTTCCTGGAATATGAAAGTATAACCCTACAGAGGTGTTTAAAAAAAGAGAGAGAGATAAAGGATTTTTTTGTTTGTTTTAAAGATTTATTTATTACAGAGAGATAGAGAAGGAACACAAGTACGGGAGAGCTGGAGAGGGAGAAGCTGGCCCCCCCGACGACTGGGGAGCCCGACATGGGGTTCGATCCCAGGATGCTGGGATCATGACCCGAGCCTAAGGCAGACACTCAACAACTGGGCCACCCAGGTGCCCCAGAAGGAAAGGTTGTACTTCACCTAAAGGAGGACGTGCATTGAAAGCAGGCCTTGCAAGTGTAAAGTGTCCATTAGAAACCCGTGGGTCTTAAAAGCCTGTGCTGATCTTGACTAAAGCCCTAAAAAATGTGTAAAACCTGGTGGTACTTGTGAAGGTCTATGGAGCCACCTGTTACAAGTAATTCATGCCCATCCAAACCATAGCGCTGCCTACCCCCACCTAGAAACATAATTCTACCAACTTAGGCTTTGCACCCTATCGTTATCTCATTACCCACGTGCATGAGTCCAAGCCACCATTCAGGGAAAACCCTCAATGACCGCTCTCCGCCGGGCCGTCTGGGGCGCCGCGCAACATGACACTTCACCCAGTCTCTTCCCGCTGAAGCACTGGAAGCTTCTTTTTCAGAATCCTTCATTATGCCAATTTTTTAAAAATCTCAAATACTGATAAAATAAAGCAGCAGAAAAGAGATTTTGTTGCCCTTAAATCTCTTAGCTTTCACCCTATAATTCGAATACTGCACTTCTTTTACTAGTGCAAGTAATGTGTTTATTCCTTTCCCCTTATTAAACTATAAACCACTCAAGCCCAAAAGCTCATACTCTAGTGAAATGCTTTTTCACACACCCCCTCCTTAGAAATCTTTTCCACTCACTTTTATTGTAGAACATTCCAAGCGTACACAGTAGAAAGCACAGCATCATGAGCCCTTCTATGCCGATCACCCAGCTTCAACAATCACCAACTCCTGACCACTCCTGTTTTGCCAACATCCCTACCCCAATCTATTTTGAACCAAATCAAGACTTCATATCACAGATATATCATAGATATTTCAGTTCCTATTTATTTTCAACAACATTGTCCTTGCTTTCCCTCCCACCCCTGCGGCCCCCTAATAGAAGTATACAGAACAACGCAGGTGATTAGAGCTGCTCTACTGTTTTCTTCCCACAGCTACCTTCTCTTTCCCCATCACCTTTATTCCACTCACTAACATCCCTGGGATGTCCACATTGTACTCAGTCCCTTTAACCTGCCTATTGCACTTTAAAAATACTGTATTTTTTTCCTCCACGATCCTTTCTCTTGTTTGAACAAGTGAAAAGACAGCGTGCCAGGATTTCTCTTATCTTGATAAAATTTACTTCTGATTTGTTCCCCCCACCCCAAATAAGCTAAAAAGAGCCAAAGGGAGTGGAGAAGGAATGGAAGAGGAAAGAAACACTGCACTTAAATGATAGATTTTGCCTAAGATGTACAAATATTTAAAACCATCAGTTATTTTTTTTTAAATGAATATTTGTAAACATCAGCTGAAATCTTGAGTCCTTTTAGACAAGAGGATGTTTATAGAATAAATCACCAATTTAAGGGAGCTTTTGCCTTCAGGATTTTGGTGTCAATGGCGGTAGCTGTTTCTGAGCCTAAGAAACGGTTATGTAAAAACAATTAAAGCCAAAAAAAAAGAAAAATTAAGGGAGGATGCGCTGTTTCTATAGCTGCTCTAACCTTGTTTTATTTTGACGTGAGATTTCTTGGCCTCAGCTCAGACAGCAACCACCACCCCACACTTTCTCCTCCACACCCTTTACAAGTGGAATTCCGAAAGGAGGCACTTTTTGAGTTCATCATGGGAAATGGCTCATCTTGAGAACATTTCAGAGCAATGACTGAGAGATTTCATCCACTCCTCCCCCCGGACACCGCACTGCCCATCCCTCGCCCAGTGATTTCCCCGGGAATCCAGGGAAAGGCAGAGAAACAAGCTCCATGCCACCAGCCACAGCCTCCCCTCCCCGGGGAGGCCTGTGCACTGCCTCGGCATCCCCTGGTCGCCCGGCTCCGGGGAGAGAGCTTCCAGCAAGAGGTTCCAGACACGGCGCGCCTTGTTTACCCATCCGCAGTCCCAGGTTAAGGATCTCAGAGGGCTCCCCACGCCGCCAACCTTCCCCATTTTAAACTGTTCCCTCTGAGCACTTAAAGAATTCTTTCTCCCGCGAATGCCTCCCCCTGAACATGGTCACACAAGCTCTCCCCCTAACTCGGATTACTCTCCCCTCCAGGCCAAACGCCGCAGTCCCCGCCGCAAATCCAGGATCTGAGCTGAGCTGCTCTTCTAGAACTACAAGTGCGCCCCGCGCCGCCACAGGTCAAAAGTCCTCGCTTCTAGAGGGAAGACACCACTTCTCGCCCCTGCACCCCAAAACCCAAGACCTGAGACCCGGCGGGGCGAAAGACGCCCCGCCCCCGAGAGGAGCACCTCCGCCGGGGGAACAGCCCTAGACACTCGTTGCTGGGGCGCCTGAACAAATAACGCAGCCGGGAAAATCCGAGGGCCTCCACGCCCCCTTCGGAGCTGGTCAGCCGCGCGGCGGTTACTCGCCCCGAGGGATTAAGGTTGCTCTTTCCACACACCACACTGGCCTCGGGGCGCCGGGGAGAGGGAGGCCGGCCCGCGCCCTCTGCCCCGGCCGCCCGGGGAACCCAGATCCGCGCCCCCTCCTCGGGCCGCGGGGGGGACTCAGATCCGCACCTCCTGTCGAGCCCGCCGGAGTGGGGGGGGACCCGGGCGCCTACCCAAGCACCGGGGTTGGGGGGGACACAGGTCCGTGGCCCCTTGCCCGGGCCGCCGGGGACTCAGATCCGCGCCCCCAGCTCAGGCCGCCGAGGAGCCCCAGATCTGCGCCCAGATCTGCGCCCCCTCCTCCGGCCGCCGGGAGGACCCGGATCCGTGCCCCCTCCTCCGGCGGCCAAGTATCACACCAGCTCCCCTCGCCTCGGAAGGGCGAATCTGGCTTGCACCTCCTACTTGGGCCGAGGCCGACGAGGGGCACCCAGCCCCCCCTCCCCGTCTCCTCCGCAGGCCGCGGGGACCCCGACCAGCGCGCCATCGCCTCCACCGAGGCAGCCCGGCCCGCGCGCCCCCTGCCCAGGCGCGCCAGGCACCTTCCCCCCAGCCCGGCGGGCCCGGCCCCTCACTTACCCAAAGCTCGGTGCCCCAGCTCATGGTGCAGGGGGCGGGAAGGGGCGCGCCGCGCGGCAGGCGCGGCTCTCCGGTCCCCCTCCCCGGCGGTCCCCTCGCCCCTTGAGATCCCCGCGATCGAGGAAAGCCCGGCACGCGCGCGGCCGCTGCCTCCTCTGGCTCGCCGCTCCTCGCCTTGGGTCTCCTCAGCGGCTCCTCCTCCCCGTCGCTCCTCAGCAAAATGGCCCGAGGAAGCAGCCGCCGCGGCCGCCGCAGCGCCCGCCAGCCCGCCCCACACCCGGAGAGCGAGGGGAGGGGGAAGCGAGGGAGGGGCGGCGGGAGGGGGCGGGGCCGCGCCGGGGGCGGGGCCGGCCTGACAGCTCGCGCACGCGCGCGCCCCGCTCCCTCCCCGGCCCACCCTCCTCCTTGGCGCCCTCCAGCCAGCCCGCACCGCCCGGGGGTCCAGAAGGACGCGGAGAGGGAGGCGGGAGGGCGTCCGGGACCGGGAACCGGGAGAATTGCCCCCGCCAACTTTATCATTAGCGACCACACTCTCTGCTCTTAGAACAACCCCTCGCCTTTGAACGAAGCCGGCCCCTGTTATTACCGGTGCTCTACCGAGGCCTGAGGTTGCTCCCCTGCGCCAAGCACCAATTTAGACTTAAGGACTTTTCCTTTTCCTTGGCACCCATTCGAGCCGATCAGAGTTCGCTCGGGATGCTCTTTCCCCAGCGCCCAGCAGCCGCGGAGGCCCAAGGTGACCTGCAAACTTGTGCTTTGGGAGTGGGGCCTGGTTTGGTGATGCCGTGGAGGATACAGATAGGGAGGGACGTCGAGGCCAAGAGCGACCGAGCCGCTCTGAGTGGCTGGGGAAGGAATGCAGGGCTTACAAGCAGTGATTTTCGATCTCTGAAACCAGTGGTTCCCAACTTGTTCAGCCAAGAAACGCTCAGACGTGAAATCACGTTGCCGCTTAGTGGGAAAAACGCTGGGTCCACAGTTAACGCGTTGGGTTCCAATCCAGCCTCCGGCATGTACTAACTGGGTGGCCTCAGACAATGACTCCACCTCTCTCTAGAAGCTCAGAGCCCCCCCCTCCCCCCCCCCCCCCCCCCCCCCCCCCAGCGGACCCCAGCCCCCCCCCCCCCCCCCCCCCCCGCCTGCCACATGGAGGTGATAACGGTCCATCTTACCCTGTGCTGGTGAGGATCAGGAGATGAACACCTGTTACCCGGAATTTGGTGGGGAAACAGCAGACTTTTTTTTTTTTTTTTCAAGATTTTATTTTTAAGTAATCTCCACACCCATAGTGGGGCCCGAACTTATAGCCGAGATCAAAAGTTGCAAGCTCCCACAACTGAGCCAGCCAAGCTCCTCCTGACTTGATTTTTTAGGTAGATACTCCCCTTTTCTTTCTCTGTGTTTCAAAGGTCTACACGAATATTCCCAAGAAGCTATGTTGAATTTTTGGAGTTCCAACTTTCTTCTGAATCACTGGGTCCTTTCTCCTGCACTTTTCTCTCTTATTTAATACTACAGGATTTTCTGAGTAACTTTGAACTAAAATGGGCCCCACTTTAGAAATATTGCACAATGATATATCTCTCCAATACCCACCCACCCCCCCAACCACCAGCCTCAACAAGTTTACATTCTCCTCCATGAAAGGTGGAACTGAAAACCCTTGCAGATAAACCTACAAGTCTACTTCCTTTGTTGGACACAGTTAACAAAAAAATTTAAACTGTCAAAAACGGTTTTGGTCTTCTTTGAGTTACAAGCGCCCCCTACTCATTTGTTTTTTAGTGTGTGTGTTTAAATATTTTGCTCTGTTAACCAGCTGAGAATTCTTTACTCTGGAGCCTGCTAGACTATTAACAATCGGGATGGCCCCCCACTTACTCCCAAGTAAGCCAGAGTGAGTTGGAGGGCTTAGAATTTCAAACAATGCCTCACAATTTAGTTTGCTATTTGGAAATGGTAAGTGAAATGCAGGTTAGCTTACAAGACCTTGCTCAGTAATCAACTCAATTTTCCTTCCTGCCAATGCTTAAATATTTTCCTAGTCAAATACAATGATCTAATCTTGACTGAGTTCTTGGAGACTTCTCAAAAACAGAGTGACCAGTTGTGAAAATATGCTAATCAGAAGGAAAAACAACCCTCTGCTCTAAAGAAGGTAAAGAAGAGGAAGGGACAGCCGAAGAAAAAAAGACCACATGACAGTGAAACCTTTTAAGGTGAGTAAGCAGGAAATAGTTATAGAAACCCATTAGAAGTCACAGTAGCAGAAGTATCTGAAACCAGGTTAACTAGACCACACTGCAAATATCTTTAACCTCATTAGGTTTGGGCAGTAACCTGGAAAAGGTTTGAAAATGTCAGAATCTTCCAAAAAAAAAAAAAAAAAAGAGAGAGAGAGTTAAAGGAAATCTGATTTCAAGGCAATGGAAACAAATGCAGTTCAGGATAAAGAGAACCCAGCAGAAAAAAATAAAAAAAAGATAAAATACAGCACAGTATTTTCCAACAACTAAATCCACTTCCATTTCTCTTATGGTGAGGGAATAATTCTAAGACAAAGAATTCTCACTATTAACAAATCACTGTGATAAAACCTACTTAGTAATCCATATTCACAAGGGGTATTCTGAACTCTCTGTATGTAAGTGCGTGAATTACACAGATCAGCTGGGGTTAAGCCAACCTGATTCACCTCTCAGGAACATTTGAAGAACACTGATTTACAAAGTTCTGATCTCGGTGGGTGACTATATAAATTTTCGTCAAAAAGTCTGACCGCGTGGACATTATTAGAGACCCTATACTGGTCGCTATGTAGTTAGAGGCCAAGAATGCTACTAGGGTTTTTAACAATTCTAATGCTGCTAGCAAATAATAAACATCTCATTCAGGACCTTTGATGTATAGGTATCTCTATCTTATCCATTTTACAGGAGATAGGTTTTGTAACTGTTAAATCGAGATTTTAGTGTCCCATTACTTACTAGATGTGTGTGTGTGTGACCTTTGCAAGTTAACTTAAACCAAACTTCTGGCTCCTCAGTGGTGAAACAGGGACCTCGTGGGTTGTCCTGAGGCTGAATGGAGCAACTGGCAGCGCGCACCGGCTTTGGTGATAGCGGACTGGGAGAGCCTTGCACGGAAAGCTGGAGAGCTCTAAAAAATGGAAATAATGCTACTTCCTTCCGAGTCACGGAGATTTGTAGCAGCACTTTGAAGATTAAAGAATATGTGTAAAATGCTTAGCACACAAGGGCCCCAATACTGGGTCCTCTTCCTTTCCTCTTGCTTTCTGGAGGATTTTTACTTATTGTATCAGAGAACACAATCCTTGACGCACGTCTAATGCGGAAAAGTGGCTCGCCTGAGCTACAATTGATTGGTTGTCTGTTGCTGAAGTACTATTCATAATGAACCTCTCGGGATTTTTTTCCCCTTTAAAATAGCTTCCGCTAGTTTCTAGCTTAAAATTCGCCATTTGTTTAGCATTCAGACTTCTCACTAAGGACCCAAGAAAGCAGTCAAGTGGAAAAAGTTGGAGTGGGATAAAAGTAGCTACTCTAGGGTGAGTAGAATCTTAAATGCAACCAATTTTTGTACCTGATCGTGGAATCCCCCTGAAGGTCTATGGAGATGTGCACGAAATCAGGAAAAGCCAGGTAGCTGTCCTGCGGCTGAGCAAGTTACACACTGTGCCACCAAATGAAGGGGAAGTGAACTTGATGCTTTTCTCCGACTCACAGGATTTAAGACATGCCAGGGCCTAGTTCCAAGGTGGCTGTCTTTGAGAAGATTTGATGGCTTCCCCCACGGCGCAAGAAACGACGTTTCAAGTCAAAGAATGAAAGTGATATTTCACCAATTTCACCTCTGGTTCTTCACACGTTGTTTACAGAGGTTTTTGGTCTGAAATAACAACTTTTTTGATAAAAATAAATGGCAATTATACCTTATTACAACCACCAAATATTAACTCACTCATTTCTAGGTTTCTGGAAATTTCTAAACTGGTATCAAATGTCATTAATAGTACTAGGTTCAAACTATAAATTCAACTACTAGTGGCAAACTTTAGTGGATCTTGCAAAGTTAGAGGAAATGGAAAAATAGACTTGACTAAGAGAGCGAGGTTAAAAGTCAGGTTTAGGAGAAGAGTCTTTCCAGCTCCTCCAGGCTTTTTCAGTCGATACCTAGAAGTTTAATGTCCCTTTGAAAATGGTGCCAGGGAGAAGCAGGCATAACTTGTTCTGTTACTCAACATGTCTGTTTCCAGTTACAGCATCATGATTATGCAAATAATCTTTTCTTGAAACTCTGAAATTATGTGCCTAAATATAATTGCCAAGATAGTTTTCACCAAATTTGAAAAGTAATTGTCTAAAACCCACTTCACTTTAAGTCTTTACTTTTTTTTAAGATTTTATTTATTTGACAGACAGAGATCACAAGTAGGCAGAGAGGCAGGCAGAGAGAGGGGTGGTGGGGGAGGCAGACTCCCTGCTGAGCAGAAAGCCCGATGGGCTCCATCCCAGGACCCTGAGACCATGACCTGAACCAAAAGCAGAGGCTTAACCCACTGAGCCACCCAGGCGCCCCTCACTTTAAGTCTTTGTAACTAGTGTTCCCTTTCTTCCCTCAATTTCAAACAAATGACTGGCACAATATAGCTCTGAAATACCTGAAGGAAGCGATTCCTTACAAACTTCTGGATAGATACCATTGGTATGTAATAACCCTGTGAAGGTCACATAGTAATTCCCAAGGGAAAAGAAGCAAAGAATAAGGGGTGCCTGGGTGGCTCAGTGAGTTAAGCTTCTGCCTTCAGCTCAGGTCATGATCTCAGGGTCCTGGAATCAAGCCCCATATCTTGGGGGGGGGGGAAACTCTGCTCAGCAGGGAGCCTGCTTCCCCCTCTCTCTCTGCCTGCCTCTCTGCCTAACTGTGATCTCTGTCAAATAAATAAATAAAATCTTAAAAAAAAAAGAAAGCAAAGAATAAGAACCCAACTTTAAGCCCTTGTAAAATGTTTCCCAGAAACTAAAAGACAAAAGCTTTCTATTTTATAAACTATTTAAATGTTTCATGGCAGTTATAACACTTAATGAAATTAAGACTCTTCCTAATCATTCCATTTTTAGAAGCCTATTAGTATATTCGAGTTGAAAACCAGAGTCTCAAAAACGGCACCTTGCTTTAAAAAGTAAACAACAGAAATACTCCAAAGCATTGCAGACTGCCTTTGAAAATGAAACTGCAATTAAAAATCACCTTTTCTTTGAACTACTTTCACAGTGAAGTGAGAATCAGCTATCTCTGAAATCTCTTGATGCCAAAAAGAAAGTACCACTTATTTTCCTACTATGTTCTCTCATTTTGCTGATTTTTAAAGTGCCTTCTGAAATTATTTCTAACATTTCTCTTTTTTTTTTTTAAGATTTTATTTATTTATTTATTTATTTGACAGAGAGAGAGAGAGACTTCAAGAGAGGAAACATAAGCAGGGGGAGTCGGATGGAAGAAGCAGGCTTCCCACTGAGCAGACACCTGAATGCTGGGCTCGATCCCAGGACCCTGGGATCATGATCTGAGCCAAAGGCAGATGCTTAATGACGGAGTCATCCAGGTGCCCCTAGCATTTCATTTAATAACACATTGGTTACTTATATTCTGGGATTTTAATCTTTTAAAAGATTAAAAATAGTAAGACTTAGAAAACCTTGCAAGCTATAGTACGAGATGCACAGACCCAGCTCTGAAGCAGAGGACGTTGTAGTCCTGGTTCTAAAGATACTTGCAGAAGATTAACAACTAGGTGTATGATCTTGACCAAGTCATTTGAGTGCCTTGGATTTGTATTCAAATTTGCTAAACAGCTAGATGCATCTGTTGATTATCTAAGAACCCTTCCAGCCTAATATGCAAATGATTTTTTATAACAACACAGGACAGAGATGAAAACTGGGCTTTGTGGTTGGGGCCTGAATGAGCGGTCCATCTGGGTCATTTATAAATAAGCAGAGGCCCTTGAATAAAGTAATCTAACCCACCCTCATCCTTTAAAAAAGGGAATAAAAATAGATACCTTATAAGCTTTTTGTGACATTAAATGAGATAATGTATATATAAAGTACTGAGCAGAATAGTTGGAAATTCGATCACTTGATAACTAAATTTAACTGCTATCATCTTGAATTCTTAAAGTAATGGTTTCTCATTCTGTTTCTTTGTCTGTAAAATGGCGTAGTAAGATCAGATAAAAATTCTGTTCAGAGATGTAAGATTAGTATGTATGTAACAGACAGCCAAAGATCAGAGGTTGGAGAAAGAAGAGATATGCTTCCCCAACTAGTAAACAGTGCCTCTGTCTTCCTGGTTCCACCTTAGTGCCCTACTTTCATCCTTACAGAGGGTGTGACAGAATCTGTACCAGTGTTTTATTCAAGGGAGGAATTCAGATTCATGATTTCACCAAAATTGCACACAGCTAAAAAAAAAAAAATCTAGTTCCCTGACTCCCTCATTCTTCCTTTCCCTATTCTGTATTTTCCCAACTGATTTTTTTTTTTTTCCAACCTGAGTGCAGCCCGTTAGGGCCATTAAAATATATTAAATATTAAAATATGTTCATTTCATTTCCTAGTTCCAATTAAAACTTCAAGAATGGCATTCCGTCATAAAACACACTCGTGGTTTTTACGTTCTCCTTTTTTACTTGATTGATTTCACACAAGGAGCATGCATCGCTTCTACGACAAGCTAAAACAGAATTTAAAAACGAAACCTGGCTAGTCTATTGGCAATTTTCATAAGCATGTTCTGTAACTTCTTGACAAAACGGTGGTAGAAGGGACCCAAGGGCTGCCTTCGCTACTGAAGACCTCCCTATAAAGACCTCCCTATAAAGCCCACAGATTAGAAGCACATAAAGTTTCCACACAGTATTCAGAGAAAGACGTGGAGACTCAGACTCTCGAGGTAATATAACGCAGCATTTAAAGGCTTCCTTTTGATTGTCAACCTGGAACAAACGACTTAACGTCTCAGAGCCTCAGTTTGCTTACCTGTAAAGTGGGGATAACGATCACACCTACCCCCTACCTCCCCAGATTGCTCCAAGGATCAAATTCAGTAATGCACACAAAGGGCCTAGGTACCCGATAAGGGCTCAGTAAATCGTATTACCACAACCATTTCGTCTGAAATTTTAGTGTGAGGTGCCCCAACAAAACCGAGGGACCTAGGACACGCCGGGAACTCGGTAATTTCCACGGACTCAGCGCCGCTCCTGAAGCCAGTCCGCTCATCGGCCGCGCACGGTGCTGTCGCCACGGAGTCAGACTTCCCACCCGCAGAGAACGCGGATCCCCCTGCGGTCGCGGTCTCGCAGGCCCAAGGTCGCTTGCAAAACTCTGCCCGGCGGACTAGAGGCCCCGCAAGGCGAGAGGGGGAGGAGCGTCCTGCTCGGCCACTGTTGCCACGGCAACCACCACAAATTTCTCAAACATCTCCCCACTACCACCACCGCGGGGAGGGCTCCACCCCTTCCGGCTAAACCGAAAGTCCTCACAGCGGAGGCCAAACTGAATGGCCCCAAGGTAGCCACTTTCGGCCCCTCGGCCACTTCCCCGGCCTCACTCCCCAGGAAACAGCCCCTCAGGAACCGCACTGCCCGCCGCCGACCTCCTATTCCAGGCCCTTCCGGGAGTCGCCGCCCTTTGCCCCCGGAAGTAGGCGGGAGAGGAAGCGGCTGGTGATGCTGGAACAACATGGCCGTCCCGGCGCCAGTCGGCCCCTCGGGCTCCCGCTGTCCTCCGCTGGTCGCCGGCGTCCGGCTGCTCCCCCTGCTGGGGCTGCTGCAGTTGCTGGCTCAGCCCGGCCTGGGCCGCGTCCACCACCTGGCGCTCAAGGTGAGGCCGGCCAGGGCCGGCCAGGGCCGGGCGAGGGGCGGAGGCCGAGGCCTCTCTCCTGGGCTGGGGGCAGCTTTGGCCCACGGTGGGGGGGGGGTCTCTGAGCGATCGCCCTCACCCCTTTTTTCCCCCGGCGTGGCCTTTCTCTGAGAGGGCTCTTTTGGGAACTGTGGGAATGGCGGGGGTCCTCGGGCCGTCTGGAAGGGGCAGGAAGATTCGAGCTGAGCCTCAGAGGGGAAGGGGCTGAACTGCGGCGTTAATCCCCGAGATTGCGGAAGCTGCGCTTGCAGTCCCTGCTGGCTTCCCTAGGTTCCTAGCTGGTAGCGACCAGCTCTTCCCCCTCCCTTTGCACTTCTAACTTTTATCCCCGACTTCGCTTGTCGGCGGTGTCCACTTTTCATCCTCTTGTGCCCCTTGAAGGTATGCGAAACCTTAGCCTCAGTTTCCCGGTGCGGCTTAGGGCGCCGTCTGGACTGATGAAAGCGGGAATCTCCAGGAGGAATTTCAAATCTTGCTGGAAATACACGACCGAGAATTTAAAACCAACATTAAAAATGTGTTTCTAATTAGAGAGCCTGCCCTCTTCTCCCTCACTCATGTCGTTGTCTGTCTAGGGAAGAGATCTATGATGGGCCTGGAATGATCCTTTGGATCTTACTTTGTAACTCACAGCTAACAGCCATCTAAGGCTAAAACGTGCCTCCAGGCGGTTCAGCAGGTTAATATATTTGGGGAGTAGAAAAGTTGTTATGACCCAAAGCCTTGTACGTGTTTTTCAAAATGTATAATTTTCTAAGAAGTTGTAGGATTATAGAAGGTTCGTCTTACTAAACACATCACTTTAACAAACCATGGAGCATTGTATTTTGTGAAGGTAGAATTTAAAGAATATAGAATGCAGATTAAAAGGCCTGGCCAGACCCATGCACCAACTTTTGGTTCTCAGCTTTTGTTGTTTGTAAGTAAAAATTATCCTGATTAAAATGGTTCTTAAGTGCAGGGAGATAGGTGAGTCTTGACTCCTTTTGAGAATCTGTTGAAATCTATAGAACCTCTCCCCAGAGAAGTGCAGGTAGAAATGTAGACAAAACATTCTTGGGGAATTTCTGGGACTTTTTAATTCTACTGAAGTTTACCCCGTGGCAAGGCTTATGACTCCAACTTAAGAACTCCTGATTTTCAGAATGCTTTCATTTTATAGGTTAGGATCCTTAAATTATGTAGAGTAACTGAATTCAGATAGGTTATAAATTAGAGACAAAGCTAGTAATAGGACACACTGGGCCATGTCTCTTGGCTCCCAATCCAGTGCTCTTTCTATATTTCTAGAATTAAAATGTCAGGTGGTCAGCATCACCGGGTACATACTGACAGTATTGGTAGAGATAAAAACATATATTGGCCTCAGTGGTAGAAACACACTGAATTGGTATAATTCTGGTAATTGTTTTCTTCCTGTTGTGCTAAATTACTTAATGTTTTTCATCCGTGTACATATTTCATAAGTATAACGGTGGTCGTTCCATAATAACACTGTAGTGGTTTCTTTTCTGTTAAAGTAAATATTCTGACTTCTTCCCCAAGGAAACAGAAGTCACCTGAAAGGAGCCCCTCAAAACAGCAGCATTAGATTGTCTTCACACGGAGCTTGAACTCACGACCCTGAGATCAAGAGTCAGACATTGAACTGACTAAGCCACCCAGGTGCCCCAGATTCCTTCTCTTTCTCTAGGCTCCGTTTTATAAAATACCTTATTGAGGTACAGTTTACATTTCATGAAATTCACCCGTTTTAAGTGTACAGTTCAGTAAATTTGTTGAGTTGTGCAACTGTCACCACAGTCCAGCCGCAGAATGTTTTTATCCCCACCAAAAGATCCCTTGTGCTGATTTGTAGTTCATTCCCATTCCCACCCCCAGCCCCAGGCAACCTCTAATCTCCTTTCTGACTCTATAGATTTGCCCTTTCTGGATATTTCATATAAATGGAATCACACAATATGGCGTCTTTTGTGTCTGTAGCTTTTACTTAAACTTTTGAGGTTCATCCATGTGTACTAGGTATGAGTAACCCATTCCTTTTTTGTGGCTGAATACTATTCCATTGTGTGGAGAGACCGCATTTTTTTCTTCTTGATTCACCACATGATAATATTTGGGTTTTTTTTTTTTTTTTCCGTTTCTTGGCTATCGTGAATAATGCTGCTACAGACATTCACATGTGTGTCTTTGCGTGGACATGTGTTTTCTAGTTTAATGTATTCTTCTATCCTTTAACTGTTAATTGGACTAGAGGCTTGATCATGTTCGGGATTGATTCTTTTGGCAAGACCACTTCGTAGTTAGTGCTGTGTTCTTGCATTGGGAGACGTAGTGTCTGATTGTCTGTCTTTCTGTCATGTTGATGTCCAGGGCTTACACTTCTGTGTTCATTAGTCTTTAGTCTTTCCAGGCTGCTGTAACAATACCGCAGATTGGGTAGCTTATAAACAACATAAATTTATTTTTTAGACTTCTGGAGGCTGGGGATTCCAAGATGGGATTCTTGCTTTGTTGCGGGCCCTCTTCCTGGCTCATAATGCTGTCTACTTGCTGCACCTGAATGGTGGAAGGGATGAGGGATCTCTGTGGGGTTTCTTTTACAGGACACTAATTCCATTCATGAACGCTCAGCCCTCATGACATGAATTCCTCCCAGAGACCCCTACCTCCTAATACCATTATCTTTGGGGACTAGGATTTCAACACATGGATTTTGGGGCAACACAAACATTCAGACCGTAGCAGTTAGGCATTTGATCTGTAATTATACTGTCCGGTGTCAAAATATAGGACCGTCTTGATTAAGTTATATGTCTGTATTGTAGTAGATCTTGTTATATTTCTCAAATATGGCACAGGAGACAAAAGTATCAAGGTGCAAACAAGTGTTACTCCTTAGGCACTCATATGCTCAGGAAGCATAGACCGCTTGTGTTAGTCATGATCCCACAGGCCATCCAGGCATGGAGGTTTCAGACCAGCAAAGCAAACAGATGTGGTCCTCTATATCCTGAGTATAGTATAGACTTCCTTCTTTTTTTTTTTTTTTTTAAGATTTTATTTGTCAGAGAGAGGGAAAGAGAGAGCACAAGCATGGGGAGCGGCAGGCAGAGGAGGTACACCTGAGCCTGGAGGTCGTGCTGAGATGTGTGGATTTTACTTTGTGCGAGGAGAAACATGCCTTGGTTTTTGGCATAACGGAACAGTTCCGTGGAGAAGGGACATTAAAGCGGAGATCTGGAGAGTGAGTAAGAATGTGCTAGGGTGAGGGAGTGGGGTAGGGTTAGACTGTGTGGAAGAGAAGGCACGAGAGATTGGTGTTCGCTTGCTACTCCGACCCTCAGTTTCCTCATCTGTAAAGTAGGAATGATGCTTGTTCTCTCACGGGGTAGTTACAAGGCTTAGGTACATTTATGTGAAACATAGCACTGAGTAGTAGAACCAACCAAATAGTAATTCATTAATTCCGCATTTATTAAATACCTACTATGTGGGGGGCACTAGAAATGCAAAAATGAGACAGGCACAGAAACAGGTAGTTGTGTTTTGGGTTTTGTTGTTGTTTGTTTTCTCAGTAAACTCTCTGCCCAACATGGAGCTAGAACTCACCGCCCCGAGCTCAAGAGTCACGTGCTCTAACAACTCAGCCAACCAGGCACCCCTCTTTTGCCTGTTTTCTAATTGGATTTTTTTATTGTTGAGTTTTGACAGCTCTTTATATATTCTAGATACTATGTTTTTGTCAGATATGTGCTTTGTGCCCCAGAAACAAGTAGCTTTGTTACAGCATTGTGTTTTTAATAGTCATGCCCTGAAATGGGTGGGGGTGGGGTGGGGGGAGGCAGAATCTTGAACATTTTCTAAGAGTGTAAGACAGGGAAGATTTTCTGTAAGAGGTAGCATCTGAGTGGAATCTCAAGACTTTACATGCTAGGAAGAGGAATTAGCTGAGAGAAGCATATGGAAAGAGATAGTCCAGTCAGAGTGGGCAGCCTCATGAGCATGGTGGCAAGAAATAGTCCACTGTCATGGTGTTGGTGGATAAGGAGTGAAGAGGTATGTGAAGGCATTTGAATCCTGTCTGTAGCATTCAGGGAGCCATTGAAGTTTTTTTAGGTTGGGAGTGATTGTGTTTACATTTTCTTTTCTTTCCTATATTTTATATTGTTTTGAGAGAGAGTATGTGTGAGCAGGGGGCAGGGGCAGGGCACGGGGAGAGGGAGAGAGAGAATCCCAAGCAGGTTCCATGCCCAGTACAGAGCCCAGCGTGGGGCTCAGTCTCATGACCCCGAGATCATGACCTGAGCTGAAATCAAGAGTCAGATATTCAACCAGCTAAGCCACCCAGGCGCCTCTGAGTTGACATTTTAGGTAGGTTTCTGTGGACGGTTGATCAGGAGGGCAGGACTGGAAGCAAGCGATAAGGATACACGGGGTCTAGGTACAAGATTAGGGCCTAAAGTAGGGCATTGTGCAGAGGAGGGAGAAGAGGGTACAGACAACTAGCTTTTTTTTTCTTTTTTTTTTTAAGATTTATTTTAAATTTAAGATCTTATTCTTAATTTTAAGGATAAAATTTTTAAAGATTTTATTCTTAAGTAATTTCTGCCCCCAACATGAGGCTCAAACTCAACCCCGAGATTAAGAGTCAGATGCTCTATCAACTGAGCCAGCTGAGTGCCCTGACCACTAGCTATTTAGAAGGTAAATGATGGACAGATGTAGTGGGGAAGGAGGGGGTGGCATCTAGGTTGCTGGCAGAGGTTATGAAGGGAGATGCTGCTTCTACCACCTATCAGGCTGTAGGAGGACGACCAGGTAATACTGTGAATGTGGCTTCATGGTTGGGAAGGGAGCAAAGGAGCAGGATGGGTATCTGTGCTCAGATTGCAAACGTATGTTCCCACCCTCCTACTCACATTCATGGTGGAAGGATTAAGTTTGGGGATATAATTATC